CAACCTTTTTTGTTGTTATATACCTGGATGACTGAGAAAACAAACTTAATGACGTACATAGGTTGTAGTGGAGGCTAAAACAGTCAAGGCAAAAAAGTTGTAATGTGACAATAAAATTGTACTTTATATTAGTCCTCATGCACAACATATGGGTCAAAATAGTCAAAAAATTATCAACTTGTGATGTTTAATTTATTAGCTCTGGCTCTAACATTATAAATATATGTCATTTCTGAAATACAATAGTCCTTCACTTATCGTGGAGGTTACCTTCAAGATACCACCGCAATAGGTGAAAATCTGCAAAGTAAGGACGTTATATTTATTTCAGTATTTATATATACAGTATTTTAGGCTTTATAAACCCTTCCCACATTCTTGTAATGTCCTTAACTGTAAAGGCTCTATTAGAGCACAGCATGTCATGATCTCCACTATCTGCCACCTGCCACACCCACTTCTCCCCCGCAGTCACACTCATGCTCCTCACCTGTGTCGCTCCTAATCTCCCTCCTGCTGCACCTGTGCGCTGCACTTCTTAAGCGCTCCCCAGTCTCTGCCTCCTTGCCAACTTTTCTGATCGCCCCGTGCCTAAAGTATCCAGCATTCTTGTTCTTGCTCTCATTCCTAAAGGCTCGGTTGGGTTGCGCTCGATTATTTTAAATAAACAATCCATGCCATTTGTGTGGCTCACTCAAGTATAAGACAGACCCCCATCACCCCCTCCTTTCTTTTTCCGAGGCTATCTGTTGCGCACTTGCCTGTTGTGTATCTCTGGGACATGATGGGGAAAGACAGACCCGGCCCCTTCCTTTCTCTTTCTCTGCTGTGACAGACAGCCTCGGAAAGAGAAGGGGGGGGGGGGGGGGGCTCTGTCTTATACCTGAGTGAGCCGCACTCAGCTACTGTCTTTTCAGTTTTTTTAATCAGTTTTAAAAAAACTGATTCACTCTTATTTTTCCACCTAAGCATTTTCTCTGATATTCTGCATTTGTTCATGTGATCTGTTCATCCCTGCTCCCTGAATGGTAATGATGGGGAAAGACAGACCCCACCCCCTCCTTTCTTTTTCTGAGGACAGACTCAGTTAGAGAAAGGAGGGGGTAGGGTCTGTCTTTCCCCATCTCCAATCGTGTGTCGTGTACAATTTTACGTTGGAAACCTGTAAAAGAGTGAGTCTTCGAAAGTCAAACCGCAAAGTATCGAGGGACTACTGTATATTAACTCTGGAGCTAATGCGAAAGCGGACTCATTTCTCTATTTAATGCGCTCCGGTTTAAATTTAAAGCCTGCACATCAGATAATGGAGCTCACACCAAAGCAGCCTGTCTACATAATTTATGCAGAATGTATTCATCCATCCATTATCTTTTACCCGCTTCGTCAATTTTGGGTCACAGGGGTCGCCGGTGCCCATGTCCGGCAATCACTGTGCGAGGGGCGGGGTACACCCTGGACAGGTCGCAAGTCCATCACAGGGACACATAGAGACAAATGAGACAAACAACCATTCACTCTCTCACTCACACCTAGGTACAATTTAGAGTTACCAATCAGCCTAACATGCATGTTTTTGGTCTGTGGGAGGAAACCGGAGTACCCGGAGGAAACCCACGCATGCACGGAGAGAACACGCAAACTCCACCCAGAAAGGCCCCCGGACCGGGATTTGAACCAGGGACCTGCTCGCTGAGAGGCAGCAGCTCTACCAGTTGCACCACCGTGTTGCCCGCAGAATTTCATTTCAATTTCAATGTTCATGTTCACAGACTCATGTTCATGTTTGTGCTGATGTTCAATGTTTTATGTTATGAGTGCTTAGTGTATATTTAGTTTATGTTTTTCTTATTTCATATCTTAGATGTTATTACTGTTTTTCTTATACATTTTATTGTTGGATGTAACTGGACCCTGTGTACATAATTTCGCTCCACCACATGTACCACATGAAGTGCGAATGACAATAAAGAATCTCTGACTCTGATTCTGACTCTTGTAGATGAACAGATGCTGGGATATATTCATCATTTAACGCGGGTTCCTCATTTTTCTGGACTGAATAAAACGTGCATTGAATTTAAGGAAATGCAAACGTGAGACGTCATTTATATTTGACCCATCAAAATGAATGCGGTCATTTATTTACAGAATCAAATTTAACATCAAACATTTACATTAATTTGGCAAATTATGAAAATAACAACAAAGCAATCACTCAGGAAAAATCATACGGCCATGATTTTTCCGTTGCTGCACCACAGGCATTTATAAAACTGTACAACTATGATCTTTTACCCACACGGATGTGAATAAGCACTTTACACAGACATTTCTAAATATCTGGAAGAATTTCTACTTGATAGAAAAGTTTAGAGATGAAAGAAGTTTAGAGGGAGTTAAGATGGTATGGGAGGGGAAGAATGTTCACCAGAATTGACACTCTCCATCAGAACTCAGCTCTCCATCGGTACGCTTGGTAGGAAACTTGATCCATTACCTTTCTGAAGATTCATCAGCAGATATGGAGTTCCGTTAACGCTACCTGTCCAGCGTCTCCTGATTGTGGCTGTAGCTCGTCAGAAGTAGAGCTAGTGATAGTTATAATCCCATGGAACTCGGAAGAGCTTTTGTCATGTCAGGATCATCCTGTCTCCGACAGAACTCGAGCAGAACCAGCAGAAAACTCTCCAGCAGAAAACTCCCACCGAACTCTAGCAACTACTGAACTCCAGAACTCTTAGAACTCTTAGAACTCTTAGAACTCTCAGTAGATCAGGAAGTACTGACATTTTAAAGACTCTTTCCCGGTTCACTTTTGGGAGTTGTTCATTGGTCAGAAACGACCAGACGGGGTGTGTTTTGTGACGTAAGAGGTTAGAGACAGCGAGAATTGTTATGAGACTGATCAGAAATGTTCTCACAGACAGAGAGAGTTTTGTTTTGGCGTGTTTCAGAAACAGGTGCAAAACATCTATATTTACGTCTGAGAGGATTCTAAAACATGACAGTTTTAACATAACAACTTGTTTTTCGTTTGACTCCAACCTTGGAAACGCACACACTTGCTCATTCAAAGGCAGAAATCAGAAAATGCATAAACTCTGTAACAGCTTTTAACATGAGTTCTAACTTTGCATGAGAATAAAAATCATTACTCAGTTAATAAAATTGATTAGTTCACTGCAACATCTAAAATGGTTTGAACTAAGACACTTTGATTATCAACATTTGTAAAATAGTAATGATAATAAAAAGAGAGTGTTCTTTTCACTTGAATCTTCAAGAAAGAAAGTCTCAGGATGGGTGAACCTGTATTTATGGATTCAAATACATGAAATGACAGCTTCTGTCCCACAAGGTTCTTAAGGTCAAGAGTTTTGACCTTAGACTTAGTTTTGACGTAGGCCTAGTCCACTACACTCTCTCTGACTCTGAAAATTTATTGAAGCGCAAATACAATTGCAACATCCGTGTGTCAAAAAAAAAAAAAAAAATTAGATATAAAAACTAAAAAGGCCTACAGTATTTTTATGATATTGTTTTTTTTTTTTTTGTTGTTTGTTTGTTTGTTTGTTTGTTTTAATGGAAGTAACTTTATCATATAAGATCTATTGTTCCAACTGGTCGAAGTTCCTTTTAATGGCATTGTTCACTCAAAAAGTCCCCAAATTCTTTTTTATCCTAAATGAGAGCTGTTCTTTCAGGGACTTATTATTGGTTTGTAAAATATTAAAAATAATGGTTCATCCAAGACAATTTCAATTTCAATTCAGTTTATTTATATAGCGCCAAATCATAACAAAGTTGTCTCAGGGCTCTTTACAGGAACACAGTTTAAGACAGTTGTAAATTTGAAAGGTATTTTGGGCATATATTGGATTTAAAAAGGAGCTCTCTTTTTTTGAATGCAGATACGTCCAGTACTTTAACGGCCTCCTGTCCGGACATATTAAAATCAACAACAAGCCTCTCTTCTTGCATCATGTCATCATGCACGGCATACCCAACTTTGAATCCAAAGGAGGTTTGTTTTTCTTCTTTTTGTCACTACAAACATCTGCAGAGCAAACTCACCTTTTCTTGTTTTATCATGCCTCTTGTTTCCATGTCTTCGCAGGTTGCCGTCCTTTCCTGAAGATCTACCAGGCAATGCAACCAGTCTATACATCAGGAATATAGTATGGAAACTTTTATTTCAGTTCAGTGTGGTTTGTGGGAAAAAGAACACCATAAAGCACGTGGATTTTAAAGGTTTTATTGTCTGTTATGGCAGTAATGTGCAAGGAGACAGCAACACCAGTATCTGTATTACCATTGAACCTGGACTGCTTCTGAAAGGAGATATTTTGGTACGAGTTTGATAAAAGTTGTTTAAACTGAATTGGTTTCTTGGGATTCTTGATTATAGAACCAAGGCATATCAAACTGACTGATAAAATATATTGAGGTTTTATTTCTTTCCTTTTAATTAGTTGAAGTGTTACCACAAGAAGTACAGGAACTCGACCCGAGACGTGGTGTTCAGGGTGCAGTTTCACACTTGTGCTATCCACGACCTCGGAGTGATTTTTGGAAAGAACGAGCTTGATGAAACCTTCAAAGGTATTGGTTCTTTTTCTACCAAAATCTGCAAAACAACAACGAAACAAAACGTTTTCAAAGGGATCTCTGACTCTCTGGAACTATGGATCTTATTTGATAAACAATATACGGATCTTTAGCTATAAGAATGAGACTGGAAAAATACTGTAGGCTGTTCAGATTTTTGTAATTTAAAAATAATTAATGACTCAAGGACATCACCATTTTGTTTAAGTTGCAATGCATTCTGGGTCAATGATGTAGACAGGTTGCTTTGGTGCACACTCCATTCAGCTTGAATGTTCATTTTGGACATGGGGATGGCTGTGGCCAAGTGGTTAGAGTAGTCATCCTCCAATGCAGGAGTTGGGGGTTCGATTCCACCAGCATTCACATGCCGAAGAGTCCTTGGCCAAGACACTGAACCCCTCATTGTCCCCGATGTATATCTCATCAGTGTATGAATGTGATAAAGCACTAGTTAATCTTTGTAAAGATCTAGTAGAGCGCTGTATGAATGGGTAAATGAATGGGTAAATGAAGGCACAAATTGCAGTGTAAAGAGCTTTGAGTATCTTGATAAGATAGAAATGTGCTACAGTATATAATTGCAGTCCATTTACACTATCTGATGTTCAGCTTTTAATTTTAACCAGAGCGCATTGTCCGAGAAGAGACTGGAGAAATGACTCAGCTTTCATGTTAACTCCAAAACTAATATTTATGATGCTATAAATAACCTAATAATATTAACTCCTGAGCTAACAGCATCCATCCATTATCTTCTGCTTGTTCCGAAGTTGGGTCACGGGGGCAGCAGCTTGAGTAGGGAGGACCAGACATCTCTTTCCACAGCCACCTCTTCTAGCTATTCTGGGAGGACTCCAAGGCGTTCCCAGACCAACCGAGAGACTCCAGCTTATCCTGGGTCTTCCCCAGGGTCTCCTCCCAGTCGAACATGTCCGAAACATCTCCCTAGGGAGGTGCTCAGGGACAATCCTTACCAGATGCCCGAACCACCTCATCTGGCTCCTCTCGATGATGCTAGTTGAGTTATCTCCAAAGCTAATAGCGTTAGCTGTTAAGCTAATAGCATTAGCGCCAGAATAAATAGGTTTGGTGTTAGCTCCAAACCTAATAGCATGAGCTCAAGGCCACTATAAATATATCACTAATATATATATTTAAAAAAAAAAAAAAAACTTCTATCTTGCCCTACTCTTACCTTTGGGTGGTTCCACTTCATTCCAAACGTGTGTCTTCTATCGGAGGTCTGGCAGTTTGAGGGTTCTGTTCAGTATCTTAGCTGTTACTAGGACTGAGCTCTTCTGGACAGAGATCACTGAGGTTGTCCCTGGGATCTGTTGGAGACACTCCAACTCCAGCACCCAGCACTTTAATGACCACTGGGACTACTGACACTTGGACTTTCCACAAATTTTATATATCCTCTTTCAGCCATCGGTGTCTCTCCAGCTTCTCGCGCTCCTTCTTCCTGAGGTTACAGTCACATCTGTCACCACTGCCTTCTTCTCTTGCTGGTCGACCACCACAAACCTTGGTTGGTTAAGCATCACCTGTTTGTGGGTCTGGATCTAGAGGTCCCATGGTATCTTGGGAGTTAGTGCAGTGGTTAAGTCGCACAACTGTGTGAGAACGTCGGGGGTTCAGGGTTTGAATCTTAGTGCCAACCTCTGAGCAACCTTGGTCAGACACTTGTACTTTGTGGAAAAGTGGCAGATTGTGTAACCTCCAAGTGCAGAAAAATTCTCAGTCTTTAGTTTAGTTAGTTTAGTTTTAGTTTAGTCAGTAGTCGGTGGTCCCTTTAAGACCTAAGACAAACCTGGATGTTTCTGTGGCAAATTTTTTTGTTGAACGTAATTTTACTAAACTAGAATTAAACATGAACAGATTTTAAACATATAGATCAAAACGCAACCAAAGCCTTCTCTGCTTGAATGTTTGTAGTGTTGACTTTGATTTTTTCCTCAATACAACTGTTTGTGCAGCAGCAGAGGACGCCTGTTTCCCATAATGTCATGGAGAACAGGGTCCTCTGGTGGCAAAACCCAGTTCAGCATTCATTTACAGTAAGACTGAGTGATTAAAAAAATGGTATGGAAAACATAAGGTTAAAGCACTTTGGATGAGCAAAAAAAACATGTTTAGTTTATTTAATTACTTATTGTACGTAACAGTGGTAAGAAAAGGAAAAAGCATGAGATCCTTGAAATGGGTTCAGATGAATTCTGCTGTTTTGTACATTTTTCTTTACAACTAAAAGACATTTGTTTATACAGATGAGAGGTTCCCAGAATATGGGAAGGTGGAGTTCGTTTTCTCCTACGGACCTGAAAAAATCAAAGGTATTCCAGCTTGTTCCTAACTTTACAAAGGCTTGAAGTTAGTAAAGAAGTTACTTGTGTAAATCATTTGGCTAGAAGTCCTTTGTACTTTGTACAACTCAACACCCGCAGTATTTTGTTCCCTAATGTCGCTTTTCCGTATCATCCTGTCAAACAACATAAAACAAATGACTGTGTATTTAAAATGACCCTGGATGTGTGTGAGAACCATGGTATTCACCAGATCTTTGTGTTTCCTGAGGTCTTGGTCACCTGGAGAACGGTCCGAGCGTCTCTGTGGACTACAACACCCAGGATCCTTTGATCCGCTGGGACTCGTACGACGACTTCTATCAGCACTGTGAAGGCCCAGGTGAAATCGAGCATGGTACGTCCTCACAAACATTTGAAGAGACAGCTTGTCTTCAGTCACACACTATTATACTTTGTAAATTCACACTCTAGAGCTGGTGATTTGACTTTAATACAATTAATAAAGTCTATCTAGACCTCCTGAGAGCAACAAAACAAAGACAAATAAAGCTGTTCGAAAATGATAAAAGCAATACCGTAATTTCCGGTCTATAGAACAGACCTGACTATAAGCGGCGCATACTAAATAAAAAATAATAAAACAGGGGAGGGTCCTCGTGACTCAATGAGAGTGCGGTACTTCATTGGTCATTCAGGCTGACTTCTAGTCACATGATCACAGAGTGGGATTATGGGTAAAATATATTTTTTCTCTGTTCATCATTTCAGTTAGCTGTTTTACCATACAGGTTTGGTTTTTTGTTTTTGTGATTAGTCTGGGTTTTTTTTTTAGCCTATTGGTACTAGTTTGTGATTTTTTTTGTGTTGGCTCATGTACTGTAGCATGCAGTAACCATTTAAAAAAATCTATTTATTCTGTGACAAAGGTGCAATGAAGCTCCTGGTAAATGGTTTTGGTGCTAGAAAGCTTGTTAGCCTGGGAGCAGGACGCAAATATTATAAAAAGTACTTAATTTTGCTGCAATATTGTATAACGGTGTCCAACGCGTGTGAAAAAAGTAGCGTCTTATACACCAAAAATTACGGTATTTTTGCTTTCACGATCCAGATTACTGACAATATGAAACCCGAGAATCCAAACTAAACAATGACGTGGGTTATATATAAAGACTTTCTTACAAACTTCAAACGGTGCTGGAAAGACAAAACAGATGTCCAGCGTAGTAACTCTGCTCTGACCCAATGAATCTTAACGACCTAAAGTGCTTAATTTATTAATAAACATACACTGTTTGAAAAGTACTCAAACAGTGCGGGAATAGAAAAGTGACGTGTAAATGAACTGACGTGGTCCTGAATGAAATTCAACATGTCACTGCAGTTAAAACGTCCAGGTTAGAGAGACGCCAACGCGTTTCTTCGTCCTCTGACTTTAAATAGCCGCAGCAGAAATAGGGGGGCGTCAGTCGACTTGCAACTGGCTACCCTCTCACCAGGGGGGGTGTTGGGGGTTGTAAACTGAAACATCCAGCTCCCACAAGAGTGAGCCCACCTCCTGTGTTTCTGTGATAAGCGCCAGGGAATTTAAACTTTGCACCACTGGTGTTATGGTCAAAAATTATTATTTTTTCTCTTTTAAGGTAAATGAATATATCCAAGCTGGATATTTAAAACAATACTTAGAATACATAGGAATTTAGTACTTTAAAAGTCTCCTAAATTGTATTTTCAGACATTTGGCAACCTGCGAGTCTGGGGCCACATGTGGTCCTTTGGTCCTCTGCAGCGACTCTTTTAAGTTTTGACCAAAACTAACACAAAACTGAACTTTATTGGTTTTAATACCAACAGCAAAAAGGACTACTTTCATCTGTTTTTCTGTCATTTTCAAATATGTGAATTATGGTACAAATACACGGAGTACAACATGTTGGCTACACCATGCTATATACTTTACATTCTATTACATAACTAACAAACTGATGTACTTATACTTACTTATACTCACAACTACCGTATTTTTCGGACTATAAGGCACACTTAAAATCCTTTAATTTTCTCAAAAATCGACAGTGAGCCTTGTGTATTAATTCTGGTTGTGCTTACTGACCTTGAAACTATTTTATGTGGTTATTGTGAATGACATGAATAAAGTTTGACTTATCTGACTGTTTTGTTTCGCTTATTGCGCCTTATAGTCCGAAAAATACGGTATATATGTTTTACTTCTTTACATAAATCTGGTCTTTTCTTTTGTCTTAAAAGTCAAAAATATCAATAAGTATTAACAATTAGATATTTTTAGTTTTGTAATTTCACCCTCACTGGCCGGTGAAAGCCACCTCTAACAAACATGAAGTGGCCCATGGGCCACTAGTTGATGATCACAGTTGTAGCCGGTTTTGTGGCTCTGGACATTTTATTTAGTGATTAAAGTGGCAGAAATGGTTTGTTTGGTTGTAAAGGTTGCAGACCCCTGGTTTAGAGTTTTAAACCTTCCCTGGGTCTGACAGTCTTGAAGAGTCCCTTCAGATTCTCTCTGTGATGAAATCCATAATCGCTGCTGTAAAATCAGCACAAACGGGAGCTCCGTCAAGTCAGGGACTTGGCAGTCTTTCTGGTGCCGCATTCAATTTTACAAGAGGGGTATTTATTATATTTTTAAACAGCTTCGCAACGGCCCAATTCATTTCTACACACGTCCCCTGAGAATCGCTGCAGTAATCGTTGTTTTGCAGGAAGGTCAGTGGGAATCGCCAGGACTGCAAGTTTGATCCTAATGGATTGGGCAGCAGTGTTCTCAGCACTCAGCAGAAGAAGGAAAAAAGAAAACCTCTTGGCTGGTTTAGTCACTTCTCTAATTGCAATTTTTGTGCTGTTATGCTTGGACGTAGAAGCCGGGTGTTAGGGTGCAGTTAGTGCAGGGACATAGTGTCTTTTTACCAGTTTAGATGGACACGGGATCAAGAGTTTTGCAGGTTTTGGATGATAAAATTAACTAGAACCTTCCTGGAGAAATTTTGACGGGGACTGCCATGTTGCATTCATAAAAATTGACAGTACATTATGTTGTGGTTCACTCTCTGCTACCATCACACCAAATTTCAGCTCAACACAGCAAAAAAATCAATGAGTTATATTCACTTTTTATTTTAAGCTATGGTGGCCATCTTGGATTTTTGATTTGGATTTAGTACATGGTAAAATGGACTGTAATTATATAGCGCCTTTTTCTATCGTATCAAGATACTCAAAGCACTTTCCATTACAATCTGTGCCCTCATTGACCCATTCCTACAGCACTCAATTATTTATTTACAAAGACTGATCAGAGCTTTATCACATTCATACACCAATGAGACGCACATCAGAGGCAATGAGGGGTTCAGTGTCCAGGGACACTTCAACATGTGACTGCTGGTGGAGTCAAACCTCCAACTCTCACATAGGAGGACAACTGCTCTAACCACTCAGCCGCAGCTGCCCCACCAAATTTCAGCTCTATATGTGTGAAAATAGCAGAGTTCAAGCCATTTAAATGTAGCTTTGATGGCCATCTTGCATTTTTTATTTGAATTCAGAATTTATTGGGCATTGCTCTTAGCTACCCCTACACCAAATTTCAGCTTACCTTACATTTCGGACTATAAGTCGCATCTTTTTGCATAAATTATCAAGTCCTGCGACTTACAGTCCAAAACGACTAATTTATGTTTTGTTTTTGTTTTCTCATATTTATAAAACAATTTTTGGCTGAGATCTGACAATTTTGTTCATTCTGACAGGGAAACTATTGAACACTACCATGTTCAGCCTCTAGAGGGCGCTTGACTAATACGGCAAGCCAAGTGTCTCATTAATAGGTAAAAGTGGCTATTAATGAGACATTTGGCTTGCCATACAAAGCCAAATGTCTCATTAATAGCCACTTTTACCTATTAATGAGACACTTGGCCACATTTACCTATTAATGAGATATTTGGCTTGCCATATCATGCCACCTTTGTCTCGCTCCGGAACTCCTGGAGCTTCATTTTGCCACAGCAAGTGTCCTCCCTCTGCGCGCTCCAGCAGCCACAAATCCATCCATCCATCCATCCATTATCTTTACCCGCTTATTCCATTTTGGGTCACGGGGGTCGCTGGTGCCCATGTCCAGCAATCACTGTGCGAGGGGCGGGGTAAGCCCTGGACGGGTCGCAAGTCCATCACAGGGCCACATAGAGACAAACGAGACAAACAACCATTCACTCTCTCACTCTCACCTAGGGACAATTTAGAGTTACCAATCAGCCTAACATGCATGTTTTTGGTCTGTGGGAGGAAACCGGAGTACCCGGAGAAAACCCACGCATGCACGGGGAGAACATGCAAACTCCACCCAGAAGGGCCCCTGGACCGGGGTTTGAACCAAGGACCTGCTCGCTAAGAGGCAGCAGCTCTACCAGTTGCGCCACCGTGCTGCCGCAGCCACAAATCAATTTTTGAAATTAAGCTTTTTTTTTTTACCATCAAAGTGAATTTATTAAGGAAAAGTTCAACTAAGACACACCTTTGCTATAATGTTGAGCAAACAAATAATTGTGTTTAAGTGTTAATCTTGTTAAACTCTTGTTAAAGTCCTCCCTCCCGTGTACGCTCCCGCTGCCGCCATTTGGCAGCTCATCAATTTTTGGCACAACTCCGGCCCATTTTTCCGGTTTGTCAGCGGTGACGTATAACAAACGCGACACATCAACGGTGACGCATAATAGATGCGACTTATAAGGTGACGCAACTTATTTATGTTTTTTTTCCCACTTTATTAGACATTTTTGGACAAATGCGACTTATATGGTGGTATGACTTTTAAGACGAAAAATACGGTAATATCTATAAAAATGGCTAATTAATTGTATTTTTTTCCTTTTTTAGCTTAGGCAGCCATCTTGGATTTTTGATTTGCAATCAGAATCTATTATGGATTTTCCTCAGCTGCCATTACACCGAATTTCAGCTGAATCACTCTAAAAATTTCTGAGTTATAGCCATCAAAAATTAGATTTGGTGGCCATCTTGAAATTTTAGAATTGAAACCAGAATGTGTTGTGCATCGCTGTCAGGTACAACTACATCAAATTTCAGCTCAATATGATTAGAAATAGCTGAGTTATCATATTTTTCCCCTTTCAGCTAAAGTGGCCATCTTGGATTTTTAATTAGCTTCAGGAATGTAAAACAGCTCACTCTCAGCTACGACCATACCAAATTCAATATCTCAAAGGATGACTGAGTTATAGTCAATTTTGAGTTTTCTGAGGTAGCTGTGACAGCCATCTTGAACCAAAATGGCTCCAAACGTTAATCAGTGCTTTGATCAGCGAACGCTCCATGCTAGGTCATGTGACCTCACTG